AATCATTTAGTTCAGCTAAATCACTCATATAATAAATCATTTAGTTCAGCACAGGCTTCCCCTTACTGCTTACTCTCACAGTTTACAACTAGATACAACATACAACTAGACCGCACATTCAGTGAGACCACTCAGACCGCCCTTGCACGCACTACACTCAGACCGCCCTTGCACGCACTACACTCAGACCGCCCTTGCACGCACTACACTCAGACCGCCCTTGCACGCACTGCACTCAGACCGCCCTTGCACGCACTACACTCAGACCGCCCTTGCACGCACTACACTCAGACCGCCCTTGCACGCACTACACTCAGACCGCCCTTGCACGCACTACACTCAGACCGCCCTTGCACGCACTACACTCAGACCGCCCTTGCACGCACTACACTTAGACCGCCCTTGCACGCACTACACTCAGACCGCCCTTGCACGCACTACACTCAGACCGCCCTTGCACGCACTACACTCAGACCGCCCTTGCACTCACTACACTCAGACCGCCCTTGCACGCCCTACACTCAGACTGCAGTTGCTCCGAAACCTTCACATCCTCTCCAGGCGGCAGGTTGGAGGCTTCGTCTTTAAGGGCAAATGGGAATTTCCACGAAGAGCTGCCGAGGGCAGTGTTGTGGCGCTTGGTTCAGAGTGCCGGAGCTGGCTCTGAGAGTGCCATGGTGGCAGGAGGGAGGGAGTGGTAGACGGGCCCTTCGTCAGGTCTGTTACTGGGGTGGCAGGGCCTTCGTCAGGTCTGTTACTGGGGTGGCAGGGCCTTCGTCAGGTCTGTTACTGGGGTGGCAGGGCCTTCGTCAGGTCTGTTACTGGGATGGCAGGCCCTTCGTCAGGTCTGTTACTGGGATGGCAGGGCCTTCGTCAGGTCTGTTACTGGGGTGGCAGGGCCTTCGTCAGGTCTGTTACTGGGGTGGCAGGGCCTTCGTCAGGTCTGTTACTGGGGTGGCAGGCCCTTCGTCAGGTCTGTTACTGGGATGGCAGGCCCTTCGTCAAGTCTGTTACTGGGATGGCAGGCCCTTTGTCAAGTCTGTTACCGGGATGGCAGGTCCCTCGTCAGGTGTGTTACTGGGATGGCAGCCCCTTCGTCAGGTCTGTTACTGGGATGGCAGGCCCTTCGTCAGGTCTGTTACTGGGGTGGCAGGCCCTTCGTCAGGTCTGTTACTGGGATGGCAGGCCCTTCGTGAGGTCTGTTACTGGGATGGCAGGCCCTTCGTCAGGTCTTCCACCCTGATGGCAAGTCCTTCGTCAAGTCCAAAGCTATTTTTTAATATAGTTTTAACGTTCGTGAACTTCAAAGAACTTTGCGGTGAAATAGAACTCAACTTTGGGGACCAAAAATAGTTTGAGAGTGTTGGAAATCAGTTCAGGGGAATAGACTTGTGATGAAGGGTGTTCGGCCCACCCCAGAGACCCACCAACACCCATGGTCGACGAGGTAGTACATTCGCCTCTGGCTTCTCCAGCCATCTGATCCGGGTTCGTATCCTAGTCAGGGAGGATTGACTAGGTGCCAATCCTTAACGGTTCGCTACGGTCAATTGTGTCCCAAGGGAAAACAAGTGGGTAAGGCTTATCCATGAGCTATGGGAAGGGAAATCTCTCAGCCTGCTAACAAGATGATTGATCAAGATTAAGCCACCCAAAAGATGGCACGGGCATGAATAACCCGTAATGCTAACAGGAGTCATCAGTCGTCTGCTCCTGTACCCCCCCAGGTCCTAACACCCTCTCGGAGTTAGGGCCTGAGAGAACATTTAATTGGGTAGTTAGGCCCTAACTACCTAATGATACAGAGTGATACCTATTATTGGAATAGCTAGGGCCTGTGGAAAAGCTAAGAACGGTAGCTATGGAGCCTGGGGGAACAGTTACTGGGGGCACCAATTACTGGGGCACCTGAGGCCTGGGGGACAATTACTGGGGCACCTGTGGCCTGGGGGAAGGAGAGGGGTCTGTAGGAATTTCATTACTGTGACTGAGGACGAGGGGGGGGGGGAGTTGGCCCTCGACCCGCTACACAAGCCCCCACAAGAACAACCCCGTCACACTCATATGTCTATCGCTTACCGATATACTTTGTACTTTGTTCTTTTGTCTATTTCTGCGCGGCGCTGAACTTTGGTTGGTGAACAAATCCACGAGGGCCGTGGAGAGGATTCGAACCTATGCGGTGAGTGTTCCCAGAGGTGCCTTAGTCCACTGGACCACGAGGATGGTCAACATGGATAGTGTCACGAGTGGTGGACCTGTCACGGGTAGTGATTATACCAGTGGTTATAGTATAGAACCAGGAGCTGGGGTATGAGGACCAGGAGCTGGGGTATGAGAACCAGGAGCTGGGGTATGAGGACCAGGAGCTGGGATAAGAGAACCAGGAGCTGGGGTATGAGAACCAGGAGCTGGGGTAAGAGGACCAGGAGCTGGGGTATGAGGACCAGGAGCTGGGGTATGAGGACCAGGAGCTGGGGTATGAGAACCAGAAGCTGGGATAAGAGAACCAGGAGCTGGGGTATGAGAACCAGGAGCTGGGGTATGAGAACCAGGAGCTGGGGTATGAGAACCAGGAGCTGGGGTATGAGGACCAGGAGCTGGGATATGAGAACCAGGAGCTGGGGTATGAGGACCAGGAGCTGGGGTATGAGGACCAGGAGCTGGGGTATGAGAACCAGAAGCTGGGATAAGAGAACCAGGAGCTGGGGGTGTGAGAACCAGGAGCTGGGGTATGAGGACCAGGAGCTGGGGTATGAGGACCAGGAGCTGGGGTATGAGAACCAGGAGCTGGGGTATGAGGACCAGGAGCTGGGGTATGGGGACCAGGAGCTGGGGCATCAACACAAAACACTGGGATATGAATATAAGGAGCTGGAATGCGTAGAAAAAGACAAAAGCCGCCATAAACAGCGTCTTGCTTCCAGAAGCACTTATGGAGAGCCTCACAAACCATGAGCGGCAGGGCTGGTGTGTGGCAGGGCTGGTGTGGCAGGGCTGGTGTGTGGCAGGGCTGGTGTGTGGCAGGGCTGGTGTGTGGCAGGGCTGGTGTGTGGCAGGGCTGGTGTGGCAGGGCTGGTGTGTGGCAGGGCTGGTGTGTGGCAGGGCTGGTGTGGCAGGGCTAGTGTGGCAGGGCTGGTGTGTGGCAGGGCTGGTGTGTGGCAGGGCTGGTGTGGCAGGGCTGGTGTGTGGCAGGGCTGGTGTGTGGCAGGGCTGGTGTGTGGCAGGGCTGGTGTGTGGCAGGGCTGGTGTGTGGCAGGGCTGGTGTGTGGCAGGGCTGGTGTGGCAGGGCTGGTGTGTGGCAGGGCTGGTGTGTGGCAGGGCTGGTGTGTGGCAGGGCTGGTGTGGTAGGGGTGGCCGGGCAGAGTCGACGTCCCATCGACAAAAAAATGGCAATTCCAGGTTCCAGGAAACGAATTTATTTTATTTGTTTTCCCCTTGAGTTGCGACTGAAAGTGTTGTGCGGACTTAAGTACATGGTTTTGTAGAGCAAGCATCAAGTTAGAGCCCAGCTCCTGGGCTCTAACTTACAAGCACTTATCGCACATTACAATGGTTCCCGACTCTCTTATCACACCTATTCTTCTTAGGAAAGTTGTCTATGACAATAATAATCTTGAGTTTTGACTCTTGTAAATTTCGAAAATCTAACCTAACCTAAACTAGCCTAACCTAACTTAGCCTAACCTAAACTAGCCTAACTTATCTTAGCCTAACCTAACTTAGCCAAACCTAGCCTAACCTAAACTAGCCTAACCTAACTTAGCCTAACCCAGCCTAACCTAAGCTAGCCTAACCTATCTTAGCCTAATCTAGCCTAGCCTAAACTAACTTAGCCTAACCAAAACTAGCCTAACTTAAACTAGCCTAACCTATCTTAGCCTAATCTAGCCTAGCCTAAACTAACTTATCCTAACCAAAACTAGCCTAACTTAAACTAGCCTAACCTAACTGGCCTACACTAACCTAGCCTAAACTAACAGCGTAAACTAACGTAACTCACCTCACCAAACCTAATGTAATGCAAATAAGAGATAACATGTTGCGTCTTCTGTTTAGTGTAGAGTTGGTGTGTGACGTCACTACGGTGTCACAGTATCTTCACAGGTTTCAGACGACTGGAACAGTTTACAGTAATGGTGTTATCTAATGGTCACTTAAGGGGTTTGAAACAGCGCCTCTTGGGCCGATCGTTCAGTGAACCACTTAAATTCTTTATGGTTTTCAGAATCTTCACCTCATCCCATAACTTTTGTGCGGAGACTTGCACTCAGAATCGCCCTAGCATACACTAAGACATGAGTTAAGACGTATTAAGACATATGCTAAGACATGCCTCAAGACGCAAAAGACACGCCTGATGACGCTTTAAGACACGCCTTATGACGCGCTTCACAATAGTATTCAGTTGACATACGCAGCCTCACAAAACTCTGATTCGCTCACGTTCAGAATTATTTCATAAAACATAAAAACGGCATCTTAGGAGCTTAATTTAGAGATCAACAACAAACAAAATTGGTCTCTCCCAAGGGGAGGAAAGTTAAGCCCACAAAAATAGGCTACAGAAAAAGTTAGTGTATGAGGAAGGTGGATTAGTTTAAGTCTCGACTGCAAAATTGATAATATTAAGTTTCTATGTACTGCAGTTTAGTGATTTAATGTTTAAGGAGATGAATGGAGGAGATTAATCACATCTCTCACAACGTGGAAGGAATATTGGCACTAAACTCCCGGAGAAGTTGGCATCAGTGCCGCGCCGCAATGTAACGCTGCCAACTAATCTTTTACTCTATGCTAACTCTATTCTTTTGTACATCCTTTCAAGACATAGTTTGGATCAAGTCTTCCCCCTCGCAAGATGTATAAACAAAGCCTCGAATAGCATTAACCACTGTTGACTATAATATTGATGATTTAGGTAAATGTCGGCCACTAACACCAGGAGAGGAAGGAAGGAGCCTGGGCCAGGGGCCTGGAGTCAGTGCGCTCGTGGAGCCTGGCGAGCGAGGGTGTGCGTCGCGCGAGGGAGGGTGAGGAAGTAACGTGTATAGTGATGACAACGCTCCTGGATATACTGTGACAGCCCCTTATCCTGGGATCTTACACCTCCGCCCACCATGACCAGCCGCCACAACTCCACAGAGTGAGTGTCTTGAGGTGGTTTATGTGGCAGTAGTGTCGCAGGTGGCTTCACATAGCCGCCTCACTCTTAACCCCACACATTTTGACATATTTATATATATCTTTACCTAATACCTACTATCTCTTACGGGCTATTCATGCCCGTGCCACCTCTTGGGTGGCTTAATCTTTATCAATCAGCTACTGTCTCTCTAGTGGCCTCGACGAGGACAGGAAGCCTGTGACTTGTCAAAGGCCCCCTGCCCCCAGTTACGTGTTTTGCTATTAATTACGACCTATACAATTTTTTGCATTTTTTCTTGCAAACGAAATCAATTTTAAATGTATAGTTATTTCTGAATACTAAAGTTTTGAGCTGATTTTACGTGGACCTTCGACCTGCATCTGTGTATGGGAAGTTATGATGACAGTTCTATAGTAAGCATTGATGCTGACGTCACTATGGTAACTTGATGCTGACGTCACTATGGTAACTTGATGCTGACGTCACTATGGTAACTTGATGCTGACGTTACTATGGTAACTTGATGCTGACGTCACTATGGTAACTTGATGCTGACGTCACTATGGTAACTTGATGCTGACGTCACTATGGTAACTTGATGCTGACGTCACTATGATAACTTGATGCTGACGTCACTATGGTAACTTGATGCTGACGTTACTATGGTAACTTGATGCTGACGTCACTATGGTAACTTGATGCTGACGTCACTATGGTAACTTGATGCTGACGTCACTATGGTAACTTGATGCTGACGTCACTATGATAACTTGATGCTGACGTCACTATGATAACTTGATGCTGACGTCACTATGATAACTTGATGCTGACGTTACTATGGTAACTTGATGCTGACGTCACTATGGTAACTTGATGCTGACGTCACTGGTAACTTGATGCTGACGTCACTATGGTAACTTGATGCTGACGTCACTATGATAACTTGATGATGACATCGCTAGTATAACTTGATGGTGGCCACTCTATGCTAACTGTAGATTCTGAAATCTCTATGACAATTACTGGTGCTGACATCCCTAATATGTAACTGTTAATGCTGACGTACAATGGTAACACACAAGGTTGTTGGTTACCAGGGACCAGATTCACGAAGCAGTTACGCAAGCACTTACGAACCTGTACATCTTTTCTCAATCTTTGGCGGCTTTGTTTACAATTATTAAACAGTTAATGAGCTCCGAAGCACCAGGAGGCTGTTTATAACAATAACAACAGTTGATTGGCAAGTTTTACTGCTTGTAAACTGTTTAATAAATGTAAACAATGCCGTCAAAGATTGAGGAAAGATGTACACGTTCGTAAGTGCTTGCGTAACTGCTTCGTGAATCCAGGTCCAGAGTTGCATGTACCCCCGCAGTAGCTGACGGCAGGACAAGTCTACACAGCTTGGTATCATCTACGTTAGTAACCCGCCTCTGTACCTTTGTTTACACTTCGGCACTATTATAGTGTCCTTTGGGATTTAGTTTGATCACAGAGAATGAGGTACATTTTTCTGAATATATTTCATCCTTTTTGACAGTGGGAGTATATTGGCGATTTATCACCATTTCTGACAACTGTTTCCTTATTCTCACGAAGGTCCATTATATATATATATATATATATATATATATATATATATATATATATATATATATATATATATATATATATATATATATATATATATATATATATCTCAAGACTCCTTACGAATATAGAAGCATCAAGAGGAAGCATAGGCCAATAGGCCCTTTGTAGTTACTTCCATTCTTCCCTTTCACTTATCCAATATATATATATATATATATATATATATATATATATATATATATATATATATATATATATATATATATATATATATATATATATATATATGTATATATATATATATATATATGTATATATATATATATATATTACAGGGTACTACCTCCGGTGCAGTTGTGGGGACCCATAGCCTCGGGGAAGCAAATAGGGGGCATTCGGTTTATCTCTGATCTCGTGAGCTTTGGCGTCTCTTAGGACCGCTTCTTAATTGTGTACTTTATTTACGTGATTACAAATTGTGTGGCACTAACGTGCATAACTTTACCATTACAAGTCAAATTACAAATGAACGGAATTCATTAATATATATCACAAACCAACTTGAGAGTTAATACAATTCAAACACCTCCGCGAACTCCTCTGGAGTTGGACGCGTGCCCAAGATGCAGCAGGCATCTGAACAGCGGCACAAGAGGTGCTGGAACAAGAAACTTGTTGCTCTTTGGTCTTTTGTGATCTTGATTAGTTTACCGCCCAGTTCCCTCAGTAAGTCCATTGTACATTTGCACCACGAACCAAGGATTTCCGAGCCAATCGGAACAACGCAGCAACCACGTGTCAGACCTATGTAATTGCTGACTTTGTGTTTCCCTGAAAGTGGCGCCACAGTGAGGCAGTCCTTGACAGTCGAATTTCATTCCACTGTGTTGGAGGTAGGTACTGTCCAGTGTGGATGAGTACCTCCACATCATTAGCTCACCATCCTTCCAGGGAAGCGTGGTGGACGCTTCTGAGTGTTGTAGAGTCTGTATAGGTGCTTCGTGCCGGGCAGCGGGCTGTGGCGAGGCTCCTCTTGATGATGTTGACTCGCTATCTTGCCCTGTGATTTGCGACATATCACAGCGTGTTGGCGGTATACTGTAAACACGTGTACGGTATACCATGCTGGCAGTATACTGCCAACATATATATACACGTGGTTGTGAATCGGAGATTAGAAAGCTCAAAAGATGAAGCAGAAATTAATAAATGGGACAATAACTTGACAGTTAAAGATACAGTAAGCAAGAGAAAATGCATGACAGATGAATTAGTGGCTATCCGTCAGGACGGACGGAGGAGTGGGCTTGTGGACGACGTATACAAGAATCTTCCGGTGGGGGGCGCAGAAGATGTCGAATCTTCCGGTGGGGGCGCAGAAGATGTCGAATCTTCCGGTGGGGGGGGGGGCGCAGAAGATGTCGAATCTTCCGGTGGGGGGGGGGGGGGGCGCAGAAGATGTCGAATCTTCCGGTGGGGGTACAGAAGATGTCGAATCTTCCGGTGGGGGGCGCAGAAGATGTCGAATCTTCCGGTGGGGGGCGCAGAAGATGTCGAATCTTCCGGTGGGGGGCGCAGAAGATGTCGAATCTTCCGGCGGGGGGCGCAGAAGATGTCGAATCTTCCGGTGGGGGGCGCAGAAGATGTCGAATCTTCCGGTGGGGGGGCGCAGAAGATGTCGAATCTTCCGGTGGGGGGGGGGGGGCGCAGAAGATGTCGAATCTTCCGGTGGGGGGGGGGGGGGGCGCAGAAGATGTCGAATCTTCCGGTGGGGGCACAGAAGATGTCGAATCTTCCGGTGGGGGGCGCAGAAGATGTCGAATCTTCCGGTGGGGGGCGCAGAAGATGTCGAATCTTCCGGTGGGGGGCGCAGAAGATGTTGAATCTTCCGGCGGGGGGCGCAGAAGATGTCGAATCTTCCGGCGGGGGGCGCAGAAGATGTCGAATCTTCCGGTGGGGGCGCAGAAGATGGCGAATCTTCCGGTGGGGGCACAGAAGATGTCGAATCTTCCGGTGGGGGGCGCAGAAGATGTCGAATCTTCCGGTGGGGGGCGCAGAAGATGTCGATACTTCCGGTAGGGGGGCGCAGAAGATGTCGAATCTTCCGGTGGGGGCACAGAAGATGTCGAATCTTCCGGTGGGGGGCGCAGAAGATGTCGAATCTTCCGGTGGGGGCACAGAAGATGTCGAATCTTCCGGTGGGGGCGCAGAAGATGTCGAATCTTCCGGTGGGGGCGCAGAAGATGTCGAATCTTCCGGTGGGGGGCGCAGAAGATGTCGAATCTTCCGGTGGGGGGGGGGCGCAGAAGATGTCGAATCTTCCGGTGGGGGGCGCAGAAGATGTCGAATCTTCCGGTGGGGGGGGGGCGCAGAAGATGTCGAATCTTCCGGTGGGGGGGGCGCATAAGATGTCGAATCTTCCGGTGGGGGGGGCGCAGAAGATGTCGAATCTTCCGGTGGGGGGGGCGCAGAAGATGTCGTATCTTCCGGTGGGGGCACAGAAGATGTCGAATCTTCCGGTGGGGGGGGGGGGCGCAGAAGATGTCGAATCTTCCGGTGGGGGGGGGGGCGCAGAAGATGTCGAATCTTCCGGTGGGGGCACAGAAGATGTCGAATCTTCCGGTGGGGGCGCAGATGTCGAATCTTCCGGTGGGGGCACAGAAGATGTCGAATCTTCCGGCGGGGGGGGGGGGGGGGGCGCAGAAGATGTCGAATCTTCCGGCGGGGGGGGCGCAGAAGATGTCGAATCTTCCGGTTTGGGGGCGCAGAAGATGTCGAATCTTCCGGTGGGGGCGCAGAAGATGTCGAATCTTCCGGTTTGGGGGCGCAGAAGATGTCGAATCTTCCGGCGGGGGGCGCAGAAGATGTCGAATCTTCCGGTGGGGGGGGGGGCGCAGAAGATGTCGAATCTTCCGGTGGGGGGCGCATAAGATGTCGAATCTTCCGGTGGGGGCGCATAAGATGTCGAATCTTCCGGTGGGGGGGGGCGCAGAAGATGTCGAATCTTCCGGTGGGGGGCGCAGAAGATGTCGAATCTTCCGGTGGGGGCGCATAAGATGTCGAATCTTCCGGTGGGGGGGGGCGCATAAGATGTCGAATCTTCCGGTGGGGGGGGGGGCGCATAAGATGTCGAATCTTCCGGTGGGGGGGGCGCAGAAGATGTCGAATCTTCCGGTGGGGGGCGCATAAGATGTCGAATCTTCCGGTGGGGGGGGGCGCATAAGATGTCGAATCTTCCGGTGGAGGCACAGAAGATGTCGAATCTTCCGGTGGGGGGCGCAGAAGATGTCGAATCTTCCGGTGGGGGGGGGGGCGCATAAGATGTCGAATCTTCCGGTGGGGGGCGCATAAGATGTCGAATCTTCCGGTGGGGGGCACAGAAGGCTCCGAATCTTCCGGTG